AGTATAAACACTGAACGTGTGATTTATGAAATTTATTGCAAGTTGCAGCCACAAACACGATTCTAACAAGAACCTAACAAAACGAATCCAAAAATTCCTAGAATTTTACAACATCAAATATCATATTAAATAAACATAATGAACGAATTTTATGCATTTACATCAAGAATCCGATTTATCATGGATTTAACAAGTTTATGCAGTTTTGAAAAATTAAACATTTAACTAAGCAAATGAACTTAAAAATTCATGAAAATTTAACACGGAGTCAAAACACACTGGGGAGAAACATATCTAAAATTCAGAATTTTTGGACAACCATACGATTTATCATGCATTTTACAATTACAGCAACCACATAAACTTCAAAAATCCATAACTTGAAAAATATAAGTCCAAAATGCACAAGGTCAAAACCATTGTGGTCAGGACACAAAAATGTTCTATATTTCAGGATCTAACCACGAGATTCAATCAGGTCCTAGGGTTCACTATCAAACCCTATAGATATACTATAACACAATTCATGAAAAATCATATTTTAATATAATAATTCAATTAATTCAAATAATTCACGAAATGCTAACATATTCAGCAATGAACATATAATTACATAATAATATGAGATTAGCAAAATATACCAACACCAAGGGGAGAAACAGCGAATGGTGCGGTCACGGGCGTGAGTTGGTCCTAAGGGCGGGGAAATCGTCCACGTGCTCGGCGTTCGAAGGCGGCTCGCACGTCGAGGGTGGTGACCGGAGATCCTTGGTGGCTTGTGGATGAGGAAAGTGGCGTTGGACGTGCAAAAGGGCTGGGTGTGCTCGCGGGGCTCGGTGTCGCTAGGCGCGGGACGTACGGTTGGTGGCAGCGGGTGCACGTGGCGAGGCCTCAGGTGAAATTTTCGGCAAAAATAGAAGAGAGTGAGGGATGGAGAAGCTCTGAAAATTTTATCAAGAGAAGGGAGGGAGATGAGAGAGACGTGAGAAGGAGAGTGATGAGGGAATGGGGAGAGAAGGGGGGGGGGGGATTCTTCCCTTTTAAATGACCCTTAATGGGAGTAACCTCCCACTTAATACTTGGCCAAGGAGAAAATAAAGGGATTGGGGAGAGCTGAAAATAGGGGATAGGATTTCCCATTTAAATTCAAAATTCAAACTAAACTCATGCATGCAAAAGAGATGGAGGGACGACGGGTCGGGCGGGCATCACATGCGGGCGCGGGCCGCGGCTGGGGTCGCACGGGAGGGCTTGCGCGGGCTGCGGGGCGCGAGCGAGTGTGCAGGCTGAGGGGATGGCCCGGGTTGGTTTTGCGCACGATCGAATTTAAAGGCCCGACTCGGCTCTATGTTCGGTTTGAAAATAATATAATTATTCGGCTCGATAATAAAATTAATACACTTAAACAAATATGAGAATATAATCACGTACAGATTAAATAATCGAGTACGAAATAAACAATCTGGACAAATAATTAATAAAAATATCTCCAATTAAATCCAGAACAAATGGTGCGCTACATACTTAAAACGCTTCGACCTTTTGATCATTACCGGTAATTGGATCGTCACTTACTGTCACATAACCCTTTTCCAATAGCACTTCCGTTGTCCATTGTGAACGTTTTTTCCGGCCCTCAGCAGCAACACGTCTGTTTCTTGGCATTTCAACATTTATGGTTGCTTCACGATCCTGCAATTGTGTTTCCGGAACGTAAGTTTGAGTATCGAGTTCTTTTCTCATTTGAGATCAGGAAGATTGACTCGACTGTTGCGTAGAAGATGCGCCAGATTTTGACTACTTATGTACTGCCAATATTCAGGCGGTGGGTTTTGAAATAAAGCTTGTGGAGGATATTGTGTCTTGAATACTGCCAGACATTGGATAATTTTGGATTGTTGCATAAAAGGAAAATTTGATGGGAATTATAGAAAAAATTGTGCTGGATAAGGAGCTTGTGAAAATAGTAAATTTGGCGGAGTTTGTGAATTTTGGAATAATGAAAATTCGTCAGGATTGTTATAATTAGAACTTGAGAAATTTTGAAAGTTTTGCCTATTATTGGGATCCATTTTTTTTTTTCAGAAATGAGAATTGCTAAACTTTTTATGTAGAAGAAGTGTAAGAATGAGATATATTTATAGCAAAAAATAATAATAGAAAGTATAAAAAAAAAAGCTCAACAGATAGAATTAAAAAAAGGCTCAACGGATACAAAAATAATTGAATCAAAATTAAATAAAAAAGAACAAAAAAAGGCTTTCAAAGAGCTTTTGAAAAAAAAAAAGGAAAAAAGCACCGTTCAAACCATTGAACGGCAGTGGTGGGCCCATTCATTTGCACAATTAAATGGATGACTCACAATGGTTTGAACATTAAATAGGCATTTAAACGAGTGGATTGAACGGACTAATGTGGATGCCCTAATTGATTCACAAAGTTGAGCTATGTAAACGGCCGATTCTAATAATCCCAACCCAGCCGATGTGTTTGATATTGATACCAACAAGTAGTCTTTTTTTTAATACGTGTGAGCAATCATAATAATCTCTCTTCTATAACTTATTAAGTTGTACCAATTGGTAATATATGTTATCATATTATTTAATTATTTGGTGATAGAGATTTACCATATAATTTCGGTTCGGATTGACCGGCTCTTTTTGGATCTCCAAATCGTGATATGCCTTTTCGTTCAAGTTCCTGAAAGCGCCGGGAGGGTTCCTAACGTAGGGTTTCTGATAATGAAGTCAGACTCTCGTATATGTAATGTGTATAAGAATAGTGAGCAGAACATAATGTAGCAATAACCATACCTTAACCATTATATACGAAAATGGTAACCTCATTACGCATGAGTTCTATTTCCTCAAGACAACCAAATATATACATACATTCTTGTAGTAAAACTCTTTTCATATATTTATCCTCAAGAGAAATAGATATATACATACATTCTTGTAATAAGTCAAAGATGACTTGGAGCCTTCATCAAATTTGTCCTTGATGGTTTTGAGATGATCAACTGGTATGAGTCCACTTGAAGAAACATAAAATTTTGATGAAGTCTTCTCTATTTTAGTTTGTTTCATCTCATCTTCTTTAGAAGTTTCTTCATCATCATGTGTTTCATCCTGCTTGCCCCCAACACAGTTAGTCTCAGTTTTGTCAACCTTTTCTTGCAACTTTGAGATTATGGAGTCTTGATCTTGGTCATGTTTCATTAGTGCCTCCATTGTGTTCACCATGGTTGCAAGTTGGTTTCCAAATGGTTGATGCATTCGTCATCATAGCATGTGCCTCTATTAAAAACGGTGTTGGTGAAACATCATCTCTCAAATCTACGTCTTGTTGTAACATTAACACTTTTCCTTGCAGAACTTGAAGGGGTTTACTTGATAAGATTCATCGTTGCACTTAGGTATCTTGAAGAAAAAATATGAGAGGTAGAGATGTCTCACTGGGCGTGCCAGAAACTTGTAACGGAAATTTCGTATTATTGGATTAACAAGCACAAGAAATTCGTACAAACTGATTTTCAACGGATCAAATGAAATATAGTGGATTATAAATCTTTATTTTTCCTCTGATTAACTGCTTCAAAAATAGGACTTGAGACTTTTAAGGCAAATTTTCAGTTTGACCTCCGTTGGTCTTGATTTGAACTTTAATAGCCTTTCTTTGAGGGATTGACAACTTGATTTCAAATCTGATATGGGAGATTATATACTGGACCGGTTTGCAGGGCTAATCAAAGAAGATCGACCGGTTTGTTGGACTACCTAAGTAAGAATGGATCGAATGGCATGGTTGAGTAGGACCAGACACCGGCCACTAGAACATCGAGCAGATAGCGACGACTAAGAAGATCAGAAGTGGTCGACAGATACAAGTCATCTGAGGATATGGTCGAGGAAGGACGATCGAGGAGGCATAGACGTGCAGAACTGGTAGAGCATCGGAGCACACAAGGGAATCTCCAGCACGTAAGGAAGAGGACACGCGACGGACTATGAGTGGTCAACAGCCGTAACCAACTCTGACATTCCCTGACAAAGGTGACGCGTTTTCTGACACCGAGGATAGTGGAGGCGCGCGGCTGTACGGACGAGCAGAAGACAATTAGCCGAACTCGCCTTGCTTGCGCGTGCAGCTCAGGTAACTCGCCCTTATAAATAAGGGCGAGAATCCTCATTTTCAGGACAATCTCATACACTCTTATACTTTTTCATACACTCATATTATCTCTCAAGATCTGACTTGAGCGTTGGAGGCTCTTCACCGGAAAACACCTCCGGTGTGGGAGTTTCATGCAGGTTCCGCGTTCAACCGGCGAGGAGAGCAAGCTTAGGGCGATTTCCAGCCGGTCAGGGTGCGAGACTTGTATTATTGGCGCCGTCTGTGGGACTCTTGTTCGAAAAGTTGTGTTCTGAGCTCAGCTATGGCAGACGGAGTTCCTCGAGTGAATTTGCAGTCTTCATTTGATGAGGCATGGACGACGACAAGACCGATGGGAGCAGGACCTCCACCCGGATTCTTTGGACCCTCGCAAACACCGGTGACCCCGACGCCGATGCCCCAGGGTACATCGATCTTGGTTGGAGGAGCGGGCACGAGCAAAGAGCACGGAACTTGTGAGGTGGTATCAGCGGCAGTCCTCACTCCGTTGCAGGCGGGTCCAGTCGTGATGCAGCAGGTAGGGCCAACAGCACAGGCCATGATGCCGCCAACAGGAGGAGCACCCCAACCCCCCGCTCAGCAAGTAGTGGCCATGACGAGAGAAGAAGTGCAGAGGATGGTGGCCGATGCGGCAGCACAGGCTGTGCAACAAACCACTCACAGACATCCCAGGCTGCTACCGCGCTGACAACGGTGCAGGGGACACAAGAGGAGGACGTGTTGAGTTACAGCGGAGGAGGAGAGTGCAGAGATAGAGCGATGGAGAGGATGGCCGAACAGCTTAGGCAGTTGCAGGAGAAGGTGGAAGGAAGGCCAGAAAGGCGTGCTCGAGGACACCCATTCTCGAGGGAAATCTTAGCTGCGCCGCTACCTGCGAGTTTCCGGGAGATAAACCTGATTTTCGATGGATCGAGCGACCCGTCGAGGCACGTGAGAGCATTCGAAAACATGTCCGTCTTACATGGATACTCAGATCCGGTCAGCTGCAGGGCCTTCCTGTCGACCTTACGGGGAGGCGCGCTTGACTGGTTCCACCAATTAGCTCCAGGTTCGATCAGAGACTTTGAGGATTTCGCAGGACAACTTACTAATCAATACTCAAGTGCGGTCGCCCAGGAGAAGACATACCTTACGCTGATGGCAATGAAACAAGGCGAGAAAGAATCCTTACGGAAATATGTTGCTCGATATAATCAGGTGTGTCTACAGGTGCCCACGGCGGGTGACGAGGTGAAAGCAGGAGGATTGATTAGGAGTCTACAGCCAGGACCATGTCGAACGTCTCTAGCAAAGACGCCTGCTCGAACTTACGATGAGGTGCTCAAAAGATGCAAGAAGTACATTAACTTGGAAGAAACGGAAGCAGAATTTGCCAAGCTCGAGGATGTTGTGAAACCTGAGCAGAAGAAGGGAAAGATGAGCTCGCCTAGGAGGGGATCACCTAGGAAAAATTCCCCAAGAGGAGGATCTTTTAAGAGGCTGTCGCCCAGGAGAGATGGGCGAAGATCATTCCGAGAGAAGCGAGAAGATCGCTGGCAAGGGCGACCTCGACTACCAAATGGCCAAAGATATAATCATTTTACTCCTATCAACGCCCAGATGGGTGAAGTCTTGGCGGCCATAGAGGGGAAGTTGGAAAGCAAGGAAGTCACATGGCCAGCGACATGGTTCGAGGGACCGACCAAACCTAGGTCGAATAAATACTGCAGATTCCATAGGGATTATGGACATAATACAGAAGATTGTAGGCACTTAAAAGACGAGATCGAGCGTCTCATACGGGCAGGGCACCTGAAAGAATTTGTCATTCGCGATCGACCACGGGGTAAAGAAAGGAGAAGGTGCATGGAAGATTCTTTGGCGAGGAGTGATAGGGACGATGATGGAGAAGACGATGCTAGGAAAGAAAGAAGGAGACGACAAAACGATGGTCGAGAGGAGCTGAGGGAGGAGGTGCCTGTGAAGAGGGGCACGATCTACATGATCTCAGGAGGGCCAACGGATGGGGATTCAAATAATGCACGAAAGGGGCATGTGCGGGCGGTGAAGCGTAAAAGAGAGGAGGTCGGGATAACTGGTCGAATGTCTGTGATTAGCTTTCGAGCAGAAGATGCGGAAGGAATCTTGTTACCCCACAATGACGCACTGGTCATCACAGCCGAAGTGGCAGGTTTTGATGTGAAAAGAGTGTTCATCGACAAGGGGAGCTCAGTCGACGTGATGTTATACGATTGTTTTGTGCAGATAAACAAACACCTGAATCTTGAATTGAAACCGGTGGCGACAGCTTTATACGGGTTCAACGGTGGGGAGGTAATGCCTATGGGCGAAGTGAGCCTGACCGTAGCATTGGGGTCGGGCGACTCGAGGAAAGTAAGGATGATCCGGTTTGTGGTGGTCGGAGCAGAATCGTCTTACAATATCATTTTAGGGCAGATAGGTTTAAATGCGTTCCAAGCGGTCGTGTCTACCTACCACATGACGATCAAATATCCTGTGGGGGAAAATGTAAGCGAGATTGCGGGGGACCAGCTCACGTTGAGGAGTTGCTATCAAACCACAGTCAGTAACAACAAACAGATGGCAGAAAGGCAGTTGAAAGGCAAGGAAGTGAGGCCTGATCGACCATGAGGGTCACGAGCGAAAGAGGAGAGAGGAGGGCAAGACAAGGGAAAGGAGAAGATAGATATAAAGCCCGGAGAAGAGATTAAGGAAATTCAAATGGTGCAGGGATGCGATGACCGAAAATTCAGGATTGGAAAAGATTTGGGAGAGCCAATCAGGTCGAAGCTGATTAATTTAATAAGGGAATTTGCGGACGTTTTCGCGTATACAACAGATAAACTAACAGGGATCGAAGCCAGGGTGATCGAGCATAGACTTAATATTGATCTCAGTGTAAGGCCGGTAAAGCAAAAGAGGAGACATCATGGTGCGGAAATGGACAAAATCATCGAGCAGGAGGTCGACAAGCTGATGAACGCCGGGCACATTAAGAAGATTCAGTTCCCTGAGTGGTTATCTAACACGGTAATGGTGTCCAAACCGGGAGAAAAGTGGAGGATGTGCATCGATTTCCGTGATCTAAACAAGGCTTGCCCGAAAGATCTATATCCGCTGCCAAGGATCGACCAGCTAATAGACTCCACGGCGGGGTGCGAGTTGCTTAGCTTGATTGACGCCTCGCAGGGGTATCATCAGATCCCCTTGGCGAAAGAAGACTGGAAGAGAGTGAGCTTCATAACAAGCAAAGGCACCTATTGTTATGTAGTCATGTCGTTTGGATTAAAGAATGTTGGGGCCACTTACCAGCGGTTGGTCGACCAGATTTTCAAAGACCAGTTGGGGAGGAATATGGAGGTGTACGTCGATGACATGCTGGTAAAGAGTAAGGTGGAGGTGGACCACGTGGACGACCTGAGGGAGACTTTCCAAACACTGAGGAGGTTCGGCATGAAGCTCAACCCGGCTAAGTGCTCGTTTGGTGTAAAGGCAGGGAAGTTCTTGGGATACATGGTGACAAAGCGGGGCATAGAGGTGAATCCCGAGAAAGTAAGGGTTGTGATCGAAATGAAGCCACCGGCCAATGTGAAGGAAGTCCAAATACTAACTGGTCGGATAGCAGGGCTAAGCCGATTCATTTCCAAGGTGGCTGAAAAGAGCAGCCCTCTGTTCAAGACCCTGAAGAAAAGCTCGAAGTTTCACTGGACGGAGGAAGCCCAGAAGGCCTTCGAGGAGCTGCAGGAGACGCTGGCTAATTTTCCCTTACTGGCCAAGCCAATTCATGGAGAGGAACTTGTGCTCTACATATCGGTGGGAGAGAGTGCAGTAAGCTCAGTATTATTGCGAGAAGATGGAGTGGCGCAATTCCCAATATACTATGTCAGTCGAGTAATGCAAGGAGCAGAGTTGAGATACTCGGAAATTGAGAAGTGTGCATTGGCGGTGGTCGTGACAGTCCGAAAGTTGAGGCCATACTTCCTAAACCACAAGGTCAAGGTGCGCACAAACATGCCATTGGAGCAGACTTTAGGTCGACCAGCAGTATCTGGCCGGCTAGTAAAGTGGGCGGTCGAGCTGAGCGAATACTCTATAATATATGAACCGAGAAGGGCGATCAAAGTGCAGGTTTTGGCCGATTTCATACAGGAAGGTACGAAGGAGGAGGAAGATGACGAAGGAATGTGGCAGTTGTTCGCGGACGGCTCGGTGTTGAGGAGTGGGGTTGGCTTAGGAATAGTCTTGATTTCGCCCAAGGGAGATTACTTAGAATTTGCCGTCAAAATGGGATTTCGAGTATCAAACAACGAGGCGGAGTATGAAGCGGTGACAAAGGGATTACAATTGGCTCTGGCTGGAGGTGCTCGGAAAATCCAGGTCCATTCCGAATCTCAATTAGTGGTCGGTCAATTCCAAGAAGGTTTCGAGATCAAGGAGGATCGGCTGCAGCGTCATGTGGACAACATGAGGAAGTTAAAGGAAGAATTTGGGACATTCGAGTTAATACAAATACCTCGAGGGGAGAATGGTCGAGCTGATTTGCTGTCTAAAATCGCACAGAACTTGGTCGATTGTAAGAGTAGGAGCTTGACCCTACTCCATATGGAGAGGAGCGCGGCTGAAGTCGAGGTAGCAGAGATCGAGGAGGTAGAAGATTGGAGGGCCCCAATCCAGAAGGAGTTGCGGGAAGGGACCATGAAGGTGGTGAGGAGGTTTTTCGAGCAAGGTGGGGTCCTTTATAAGCGATCGTATGCAGGTCCACATTTAAGATGCGTATCCAAAGAGAAGGGTCGGTACGTTTTACGAGAAGTGCATAAGGGATGTTGTGGTGATCATAGCAAAGCCGGGGCCATGGTCGCAAAAATCTTAAGAGCAGGCTACTTCTGGCCGACAATGAAGACGGATGCTAAAGAAATGGCCAGGAGATGTATGCAGTGCCAGAAGCACGGCCCGCTCATACACCAACCAGCAGAGACGATGACTACAATGAGCGCACCCATTCCATTTGCGCAGTGGGGCATCGACCTAGTGGGGCCAATGCCGCAGGCAACAGGGCAACGAAAATTTTTGATTGTGGCGGTCGACTACTTTACGAAATGGGTGGAAGCTGAGCCGTTGGCCAAAATTATAGAAGAAAAAGTGATCCAGTTCCTGTACAATAACATTTGCTGTCGATTTGGGGTCCCTAAAATCCTGATATCTGATAATGGAACTCAATTCAACGGTAAACGGGTAAGAGCATGGTGCGAGGAAATGGGTATCGAGCAACACTTTGCCTCGGTCGCCCACCCACAGGCCAACGGACAGGTAGAGGTGACCAACAGGATCATCCTAAACGGACTAAAAACGAGACTGGAGAAAGCTTCAGGGGCATGGGTGGACGAGCTAACATCCGTGCTCTGGGCGTATAGGACCACTCCAAGGTCGACTACAGGCGAAACGCCCTTTAGTTTGGTGTATGGGATGGAAGCACTTCTGCCAGTTGAGTTAGAGCTACAATCCCAACGATCGAGCACTTATAACCAGGAGCAGAATGAGGAACTCATGCTGACCGCCCTAGACACTATTGAAGAACTCAGAGAGCAAGCCTCGACCAGGGTTGAGGCATACAAACAACGGATGAGGGCAGCACATGACCGAAAAGTGAAGATCCACCGATTCCAGGTGGGAGACCTGGTGTGGAAGAGAGTAGATGTGCTCAAACATGTAGGAAAGTTAGAACACAATTGGGAAGGGCCGTACTTTGTCGGAAAAGTTCATGCAGGAGGGGCATACTCCCTGAAGGATGCTGAAGGAAGGTCACTGGCTAGGTCGTGGAATGTAGCCAATCTTAAAAAATACTATGTGTAAAACTTTTTTTTTTTCTTTCTGAATTCGAGCAGTTGAATCGTTATAATCCTCTTATGGGAAGTTGTCAAAACGGTCGATTTCTATATGGAAATGTCTCTGCCAGCGTTATTAACTTGTTATAAATATGTTCATTTGGCGCATTCAACGACACTACATACTTTACATGATCACGAGACGATGCTCACAAAGAACACCAACCACTCACCCGATCTTTCCCCTTAAAGACTAAAGTCCTTCATTTATGGAACACCCCGATCGAGGGGTAGGCGAAGGTCGCTTGTTTTCGGTATATTCTAAGGGGTGGGCATGTGGTCGACAACGTCCACGCCTCCGGGCTGGACGACCACAATATTTTCGGAACATCCCTTACGGTAGGCAAGTGACAAGACCAAAGTTCTTCGTTTATGGAACACCCCGATCGAGGGGTGGGCGAAGGTCGCTTGTTTTCGGTACATTCTAAGGGGTGGGCATGTGGTCGACAACGTCCACGCCTCTGGGCTGGACGAC